ACATACATTTAGTTTTAATTGACCTCAGCCTCAAGATCCAGGTGGGAATGTCAGGGTCACCTCAGTCCCTGGAAAAATCATGGAGCAGATCCTCAAGGAATCCATTTCTAAGCACATGGAGGAGAAGGTGATTAGGCACAATCAGCATGGATGCACCAAGGGCAGGTCACCAACCTGATTGCCTTCTAGATGAGATATCTGGCCCTGTGGATGCAGGCAGAGCAGTGGACATGATATACCTTGACTTTAGCAAGGCTTTTGATATGATCTCCCACAACATTCCTGCAAGCAAGCTAAAGAAGTATGGGTTAGATGAATGGTCTGTAAGGTGGCTGGATCATCAGGTCCAGAGGGTAGTAGTTGATGGCTCATTGTCTAGTTGGCAGCCAGTATCCAGTGGAGTGCCCCAGGGGTTGGTCCTGGGGCTGGTTTTGTTCAGTACCTTCATCAATGACCTGGAAGATGGGATGGAAGCAAGTTTGCAGATGACACCAAGCTGAGGGGAGTAGTAGATATACTGGAGTGTAAGGCTAGGATTCAGAGAGACCTCAACAAATTGGAAGACTGGACCAAAAGAGATCTCATGAGGTTCAACAAGGACCTGCACTTAGGATGGAACAATCCCATGCACCAGTACAAGCTGGGGGCTGACTGGCCGGGCAGCAGCGCTGCAGAAAAGGACCTGGGGGTTACAGTGGACAATAAACTGACTATGACTTTGCCCTTGTTACAAAGAAGGCTAACAGCATACTGGGCTGCGTTAGTAGGAGTGTTGCCAGCAGATCGAGGGAAGTGATTCTTCCCCTCTGTGCGGCGCTGGTGAGGCTACAGGTGGAGTACTGTGTCCAGTTTTGGGCCCCCGCTACAGAAAGGATGTGGACAAATTATCTAGCAGCGGGCAATGAAAATGGTTAGGGGGCTGGTGCACATGACTTCTAAAGAAAGGCTGAGGGAAGTAGGCTTATTTAGTCTAGAGAAGAGAAGACTGAGGGGGTATTTAATAACAGCCTTCAACTACTTGAAGTGTGGTTTCCAAGAGGATGGAGCTAGACTGTTCTCAGTTCTGGCAGAACAAGGAGCAATGGTCTTCAGTTGCAGCATGGGAAGCTTAGGTTAGATATTAGGAAAAACTTTCTCACTAGGAGGGTAGTAAAACATTGGAACAGGTTACCCAGAGAGGTTGTGAAATCTCCATCCTTGGAGATTTTTAAGACCTGGCTATACAAAAAGCCTTGGCCGGGATGATATATTTGGGGATGGTCCTGCTTTGAGCAGGGGGTTGGACTAGATGACCTCCTGAGGCCCCTTCCAACTCCAATTATCTATGCTTCTATGATTTAGGGTCCCACAGGGCATATTTCTCTGAGTTTAGCTCTCTTGAGTTCCAGCCTCAGTCCTGAATAATCCTTAGTTCCAGCCTAGTGCCATCCATCTTTTCCATACCTTGAGATCAGTGCTTGAAGCATTTTGCTGATTTGGAGCTCTGGAACCCAGGACCAAGGAATACAGTGACACGTAACCATGACTCAGGCAGTGATATCATCCCAATGCCCCACAGATTGCAGGAGAGCTTGATGCCAGGGAGTAGCCCTTTCATAGCCTGAGTAATGAGCAGGTATTGACTGTAGGTGTTCATGCTTTTGACTCTAGCTGTTCATTGCTGCTGGGAAGGAGATGAGATTTACCAAGCCTTTTGCAAAGTGGCGGCACTGAAGTCATTCTTGGAAAACACAAAGGAATCGCAATCCATTATCTGATGGTGCATTTGCCCATTAAAAATATAAGATCCAGGGTTTGTTTCCTTTCCCTGTCAGTCAGGGACACCATGCTATGCACAAAGCTCCACTATGGGACTCTGGGTAGGAGGAGCTCTCTCTTTGCTGACAAGAAGACAGTACAGCAGGGACTCTCTTGGTGGAATTTAGTTCACATTGTGCTAGGTACTGCACAGGCCCAAGGTAAGAGACAGTTCATCTCCCATCTGCAATGAGTTTGCAATCAAAACTAATGAAGCCAAGGGTTAGTTTTTTGCCTAAAGTTTCACAACAGTCCAGTGCCAGAGCTGGGAACAGGATCCAGGGCTCAGTTGAAAACACTGCACAGAAGATCAGGACGGTGCTACATGAACAGCGTTGTGGGTCCTCTTTCCCAGCAAAGCATGTTGTTCCCCCAAGAGGACCAGCCAAAGCTTTGCTCAGTTCATAGTATCTCCACTCTTACTGACCCTTCCTTGTTCAAGGAAAAGAACACGCTCAGAAACACTCCAACACAGTGATGGGCATGTCCACTCTGGCATGCTCCCAAGTGGTGCAGCTGAGTGTCTGTGCATTTGAGCGTCTGGGCATCCCAAGCAGCTCTCATTTGTCCTGCTTTCAGCATCCTCTGCCCCAAGCCACACATCTTTTGGTAGTGGGGTCTAGTGATCTGCTCAGCCCTAGGCTCACAAGGTGCTCATACAGTGAGTATGTCTCAGAGGTAGACACCTGCTCTTTAGGCCCTGGAGTATTTTCCATTTCATAGCATCTCCACTCTTACTGACTCTTCTTGTTTAAGGACAAGAGCACGCTCAGAAACGCTCAGAAACACTCCAAGCAGCTCTCATGTGTCCTGCTTTCAGCATCCTCTGCCCCAAGCCACACATCTTTTGGGAGTGGGGTCCCAAGGCCTGGAGTGAGTCACCTTAGCTTTTCTCTGTTTCAGTTTGCCATTTGTAGAATGGGAATAGTGTCTCAGGCCTGCTCTGCAGGAGAGCTGTAAAGCTGAAAACATCAAAGGATGTGAAGTGCTTGCTACCCAAATAGTGGGGAGCAGACAAGCACCTGAGAGGGCAGGCAGACACTTTGAACATGCACATTGCAGCTGCCCTCCTCCTTCATTCTCTGGCTGGGGTCTCTCTGCTCTCTTCCTGCACAATCTGATGGGACCAGGCACCAAGTTTTCCATGAGGCAAGGCACAGGAAGAGCCATCCCTTCTGCAAGGGAAGAGGAAGATCAATATGAAGGCTTCAATACTCGGGGCTTTGCCTGATTCAGTGCCTTGCACCTCTCCTTCACTGAGGAGGTGTGTTTGGGGCTTCTCCATGTTACCTGGGGTGTGGGCACCCCTCTTTCCTGTAGCACCACCAGCATCAATGGTACTGAATACGGGCCATTCCTATAGTACACAGCTCCCGCTGAAACGAAGGGCTGCTTGGACTGCAGACCACATGCCAAGCTCGGCTGTGGGTCCTTCCCAGTCTCTTCCAGTCTCTCCAGTCTGGAAAGGCCTCTGGTGTAACAATTCCATTGGAGCCAGTCTCAGCCAACAAACTGACCATGTCAATGTCCACAAACTTGCCTAGCACAGGGCTCCCTCTGCTAATTCCTGCAGGGTGAGGATTGCTGGGGTGGGGGTGAATGGAAGCATTGGAGGGGGTCACGCTGGAGCTTCTGGCCTTCTGGCCTTCGCTATCTCCCTCTCAGTAATGTGCACTGGCTAGGAGGGGCATCTGGGAGATCCTGAGGGGAGAAAATCATGCCTTGCCCCCTGCATAAAGGGTGTATGGGTCTCAGCCCCATTACAAACATGGGACCTTTGCAATAATGCCTTCCTGGGGCAGTGCCATTGTACCCTGGCATAGCCGAGAGTCCAGTCCATGCTGCAGTGTCACCGAGAATGGAGTCTGGCCCACGTGCCATGCCACCAAATGCAAGGTCTGGCCTGCATGCTACGTTGCCAGGAGCCAAGCCCGGTCCATGTCTAAGGGTCACAGAGAGCTAAGTCCAGTCCTCAAGACAGCTTCCCCAGGCCTGGCACACACCCCACCAGGCATACACACCACCAGCAAAGCCAGTTTAGCGCTCCCTCCACCACGAGCCTCCTCAGACCCTCATGTTGAGGCCAGACCACACCGCAGTGTCATTGAGGGCCGAATCTGTCCTGGCACAGCCCTGCTCCATGGGTATGTCTACTCTGTCTGTGCCACAATGATTTCTTTATTCCCACCCAGCAAGCAGCAGCCAGGCATAAGGGAACCCCCCCCCCACCCCATCCTTGCAGCACCCCACCTTGCACTCAATGTGTGTGTGTGTGGGGGGGGGGGGCTGCCTGGTAAGGATGTTGCTATGACAACCCCTGCCCCCACCCAACAACATGCTTGAGCCAGGCCTGCCATGACGTCATTTCCTGGTCCCCACACCTGGGCAGCCTGGGTCCCTGCTCTGTTCCTTAGCAAAGTCCCCCTCCCACTCAGCTCCAGGGTGAACTGGATGGGTGGGTGTTGGGGGGTGGAGGGGGCAAAAACAGGAAAAGCCCCTCCCCTGCAGCCTCTATCCCCTCAATAAGCTATTTCCCTCCTCCATCACCTTCTCCCACTGCTCCCAGCCACAATAATTAATGATGTCATCAGTATCGCTGTTATTTATTTGTGTTGCCAGAGCACCCTGGGACTCTGCTCATTAGTCTCATGCACAGCATTATGCACCCTGCCAGTGTCCCTCTTCCACAACCCCCACCCACCCTGCTCCCTGCATCACCCCCATCCCCACAGCCTGGGTGCTAGCAATCAACAGTAGGGCGATGCTTGCTGTGATGGCACTGGCCTCCCTCCTGAGTGCAGCAGGGCAATCCTCAGCCAGCTTCCCCTGCAGCCCCTTCCATTCATCTCCATTCTCCCCAGCCCCTCCCTGCAATCCTGCTGTTCAGGTCTCTGGCTGTCACCCTCCCCGCAAAATGCAGGTCCCCACAAAAAATATCCCTGCCTTGAAGGCACAGCTGGCAGGATCCAAAACATCCCTCTGTCTCACCCCCTCCCAGCCCTCAGTTCCATCACATTTCCTCCACATCCATCTCTTCCATCCCCCCACCCCCATGCCCTGCCCCATTCCATGCTTCCACCTCACCTTTTTTTCCACTCTGTCTCATTCCCCCCACCCATCTCCATCTTAGGATGTCCAGGGGGTATAGGTCCCCGCTCCCTCCCTCCCAGACACCCTGAGCAAAAGATGCAGCCAGCCCCAACCTGCAGACGGTGATGAGATTCTTCCTTTCCACTGCAATGTTCCTGGAAGATGCTTTCTTGGAGGAGAGCCCCAGAGCCATGGCAGACTGGATACAACTCGATTCCATCCAGAGCAGGGGCGATCCAGAACCTCCAGCCAATTCCTCCCCACCCCCACTCCTCCCCGCCCCTGCACCCAGAATACAAAATTGCTCCCCCCCACAAACAAATCTGATCACTGTAAAATGTTGTCTTTCTCTCTCCCCCCACAAGATCTGCTCCAGCCCCCTCCACACTCTTCCCCAGCTGATGGTGTGAATTCAATTAAAAAATAAAGGGGGGGGTAGAAATACAAAAAAAAGGGAGCTCTCCCTGGTGCTGGTGCTGATGCTGAACAAATCCCTTCCCCTCCTCCTGTGGGGAGGCCAGCCCTCCACTGGTGACGTGCTCGCAGGAATTGACAGCCCACAGGCAGGGCTGGGGAAGGGAAGAAGCCAGCAGTGGTGGAGATGGAGCAAAGAAGAGGAGATCGGGGAGGCAGTTGGTCCCTGTGCCTCTCACAGGAACAGGATGCGCTCTGCCAGGGGCCAGTCTTTCAAGGAATGGAGAGACATTTTTGTTCCCCAAGCAGAGCTCTCTGTGGGGGTGTCTCTGTGTTGCAGGGCTCCATCCCAGGCTGGGGCCTTGAGAGAGAGGGTTAGGAGCAGGGATTGTGTCAGCTCAGATTCATATCAAGTTTGGCTCCTGGGGGATTTAGATGAGAAGTCAGGATTCTAGAGAGCCAGGCAAGATTTTTCCCCTGGCCCAAGTGATTAAATGAGTCAAAAACTCCATGCACTGAACCACATTTTTGTTGCTGGAATAAAAAAATCTCATGGGCTCCTTCCCATTTGTGCTTCTGGGGTGACTGAATGCAGATTTAATTTAAATCAGAAATGTACTTTCAACCTGACAAAGACTGCACAAGCCCTCTGGCTCTGCACAGCACAGCACAGGCAGCACTGTGGCTGTGGCGCTGGAGGCACTCCACCTTGGCTGTGTCAGCTGATGCAGCCTCTTGCTCAGAAAATCCTCTCACGTGCAGCATATCAAAGAGCAGGAGACAGTGCCCCCTGCGCCCCAGGGCCATTTCTTCACAGCGTGGATACTACACATGCTCTTACTTTTAGCATTAGATTATGGGATGTGTGCCTTCAGTTACCAAAGCCTTCTAGACTGAAGGATGAGGCATTGCCGCCAAGCACTAAGGAACCTGGACCCAAATTCCTTATGGGAAAAAGGGATAGTCACCGTCTCTCTTTGCACCTCAGTTTCCCCCTGCGAAAGAAGGAGAATGGTCCTTTCTCTGCTCTTTAGATTGCAAGACCTTCAGGGCAGAATCTTTGTGATCCTGCACTTGTGCATGCGTGCACGTGTGCAAACATGTCTGTACAGCCCCGAGCACAATGAAGCTTAGTTTGTCCTAAGCTGGGTCCTCTAAGTGCCAAAATAGCACTAAAAACCCAGAGGTTTTCACCTCCCTCTCACCAGGGGCACAGTGTGGATGGAGCTGGTGTTGTGTAGAGGGCCTGGTTCTGATGCTATTTGACTCCAAGGGGATTTTTGCCCCATGGGAGCTCAGGGTTCATAGTGGAACTAATGTGAAGTAAGGACAAATGGATAGAGTCATATTTCCAGGAGCTTTTACTGGTTAGGCAAGCAAGCACAAACAAGGATCATTGGGGGAAGCCAGAAGGGCTGAGGGGGCAGGGTGATCTCTGCCTGGAATTCGGCTATCAGTATATAGCTGGAATACAGCTATTCAGTTAATAAAAATCAAAGTGCACAGTAAGCTTTGGTAGTGTGGGACTGTGTGTACACACATGTATGTGCAAGAGCAAAACCTCACTCAGACGCATCAGACTCAGCAGTGGGGCTCACAATATCTCCTATTACTCAAGTTGTCCAATGCTCCCCATCATAAGCTACTCTCTTTGGTCTCATATAACTTGGCCAAACTTTAACCTTTGAAGCAGAAGTGTTCCATGCTGGGGGTTTGCCTCAGCATGATTTTTTGTTGTTTACAGGACTTCAGACTCCAAATGCCAGCTGAGAATGAGATCAAGGGAAACTTCTCACACCCCAAGTGTAAGTGTTCTGGCTTGTTGCTTGCTCAAGCCATTACCTGAGGTTTGAGGGGTAGCTGGGACCAAAGCTAGAGGGTCAGAGTCTGAGCCAGAGCCAAAATGCTAGACGAACAAGGTCAGGGAGCGAGCCAGGTTAGATACCTGTGAGAGCCGAGTTCCAACCATCTGAGACATGAAGCAGAGGTGGAGATTGAAGTCTGAGCAGGGTCAGCAATGGGTGGTCAGGATGCAAATGCAGGGAAACAGCAGAATGGTCCAAGGAGGACAGGAGCTTTTTTTGTCCAGGCAGCTGCCCCAGGAAACAGGAAGTCTGATATAGGTGGGAGGATGCAGTCAAGAAGCCTGAGCTAAGCAGGGGCCAGTGGTAGAAGGCCTTTCCCCAGTGAGGCCCCTTTCCTTGCCACTCTTCCTTCTGCCATGAGCAGTGTCCTGGTAGAAGGCTGAACTGGTGCTTGGTTCCTAAGCCCCAGGTTTGGGGGTTTGGGACTGGGTCCTGACATTATCTCTACCCCTTATACTTGACTTTCAGTCAGGCTGACCATGGTACTCCTGGGTTCTTCTTATGGAAAGCCTGGAGTAGTGCTGGGGCATGTACAGCCTCTATTGGCTCCTGGGTGCCAAACCATACTCTTTCCAGGTCTTCCAAACCATACTCTTCCCAGTCCACCAAGAACTGTAGCTGGCCATGTTTGAATTTTTAATCCAAGATGTTCTGAACTATGTATTCCTTATTCCCCTGCATGTGAACAGGGGCTGGCAGCTGGCAGGTCCTAAGCAGAAGGGAGGTTTCTATATATGGCTTCAGGAAGGATGTATTATGTACTTGGTGAATTTTGAGGGATCAGGGCAACTTCAGTTTGTAGATGACAGGGTTAATCTGGTGAACTATTGGGTACAGACTGAGAAACTGATGTTCCGATTTGCAGGAGGGTCTGTCTGTGTGTATGTGCTAGGTGGATAACCATACTTTCTGGCCTATGGCATAGGTCAAGCCCAGCTGAAGCTAGTGGTCAGCAAATTGTTTATAGTTTTCTTTGGCTTGGCTTACTTGCTTCTTCAAATCCTCTTGTATCCCATTAATGTGTTGTGCCCATTTGGATGCTGCAGAGTTGGAAGACCTTGTGGGCACTCAAGTAGAGCTGAGGATGGAAACTATAATCCGCAAAAAAATGGACTTTGGCTAGTAGAAACCTGGTCAGCGTTGTTGTAAGCAAACTGCCGGGTAGAGCAAGGAAGACTAGTAATCCTGGTGGTAACTGCCATAGCACCAAAGGTATTGCTCCAGAATTTGATTGACTCTCTCCATATGTTGGATTGGGAGTGATATGCAGATGGCAGATGGGACTGTACCCTGAGTAGGCCCAAGGGCTCTGATATTACCTGTTCATGGAGTCCATGGAGACAGATTATGTGGGTGACCCAGAGCTGTGCTGTCTCTTTGGTGGCAAGCAACCCCCTGCAGGGAATGATGTGTGGCATTTTTGTAAAATGGTCTACTACCATCAGCATGGAGGTAAACCCATCAGTTTTGGGCAACTCTACTATAAAGCCCATGGAGACATCAGCCCAGGGTTGGTGGGGGCGTTTCCAGGGACTGGAGTAACCCACAGGGTTTCTGTTGGAGACATTTGAGCTTGTAGGAGGTTATGAAGTTCCAGACCATGGTCTTCAAGTAAGACCACCAGGAGCAGCAGGATGCCAAGTGATAAAAAGGCTTCTTTCAACTGCTCAAAGGTACTTTGGGCTTCTGTCAACCAGTAGAAAGTCATGCCAGAGTAGCTCGGTGAGGGATGCCACCAACTGTGCAAATTTGGGAGGAACTTCCTGTAAAAGTTTGCAAATCCCAGGAATAATTGCATATCCCAGACTGAACATGGGGGTGCTCAACTTCAGACTGCCTTCACCTTCTTGGGGTCCAGCTTGATGCTGTATAGAGACAGCACAAATCTCAGAAACTCAATGGTGTTCCAATCAAATGTGCATTTCTCCAGTTTGTCATATAATCTTTGTTGGTGTAGTCTTTCTAGGACCATGTGGACATGCTGGGTGTGTTGTTCTGGGTTCTCTGAGAAAAATCGGGGTATCATTGAGGTAGGCTACCACAAATTGGTCAAGTAGATCTCACAATACATCCTTGATCAGATGCTGAAACATTGCCAGGACATTGGTCAGACTGAATGGCATAACCAGATAGTTGAAGTGGCCATACTGTGGTCCAATTTGGTAGAGAAACGAGCTGCTCTCAGGCAGTCCAATAGTTTCAGAATAAAGGGCAGGGGATATCTCTTCAGGACAGTAATTTGGCTGAGTGCCCGGTAAGCAACACAGAGGCGTAGACTCCTGTCTGTCTTTATCACAAACAGGACCAATGCCCCAGCAAGCAAGGTGGATTCCCTAATAAAGCCCTGGAGATACTCACATAGGGCAGCTAGCTCCAGTTCAGACATGGCATATATTTGCCCTAAGGGTATCTTTGCCCTTGGCTGGAGATCAATAAGACAGTCATAGTCCTGGTGCATGAGAAAGGTGTCTGCATTCTTTTCTTCAAAAACAATCAGCATAGTCCCTATACATGGAGGGATGATCTATTGCCCTCTCAGAGGGCAGCTCTACCCTCAGCATCAAAGCACCAAAAACTCTTGGGGGTGGGGGCGGAGAGAAGGGTGGGGGGGCAGGCTGAGCAACAGGTTCCCAGACCCTCCAGCAGCATCTCTGGCAGTAATCAAAGATAAAAACTGATCTCCTGTGATTTCTATTGCACAAAGGGGCTGTGCAGTTAGCCAGGGTATCCCCAGAATTAGGGGAAACATGTAGGGAATGGTTTATCCTGAAGCTCAGTATTTCCCAATGCCCTTGGATGTCCACCCCCAGAGGGACTGTCTCTTGTGTTACTGGCCCAGAAGATATGGTCATATGACCAATTGCAGCTGAAGGTCTTGACAGTGAAGCAGTGAATGGGCCCTGCTAAACCTTGACGTGGAGAGGTGGTAGGTGGATCCCAG